AGCAAAAACAATTTCTGATGAAAATACAAATTCTTATACTGAGTTTATTTTAATTTTATAATGTTGGAGTTATTAAGTTCCCTAGCTTCACCCCCAAAAACTGTACCTTTAAAAAGAGTCCCAAATAGATGAAGAAAAAATGCAATATAGAAAAAAACTTTTGTCTAAAGAGTTGAAATAAATCATTAGCCTTCCCTGAGCCGTCTTGGCTCAATCTTCAGACATAAAGAGGCTGGAATTGCAGGACTACCTGGCATTGTTAAAGGGATCAACCTAAGGCAAGAGAACTACTCATTCTGGTAAACAAGGTCACATCAGCTGAGCACTTCTTGCTAACTTCATTTATTGAAAGGTAATGTTAAGATGATGGGGGTTAGGAGGTACAAATTTCCAGCTCCGTTAGCCCTCTCTTCTAGTAGGGCCTATCATAGTAGCTTAATTTCTCATTTTAAGGTCTGTTTTTTTCTTTCTAGCACACCTCTGTCAGAAAAACTTTTCAGTATGGTATATATTTTATGTCAGTCCCTAACAACTGAGTAGTAAATTTAGCCTATTAATTATTGTTCTGTATTTTATACTTTACAATAGAAGTTAAAATTTAGCACTGCACCATATCACTGTCCTCCCATTGTTCATTGATTTGCTCAAGCGGGCACCAGTAAAGTCTCCATTGTGAGACTTGTAACTGTGTTTGGCACGGGTAGCTTGCCAGATTTTTGCCGTGCGAGTGAGATACTCTCGGTAGCTTGCCGGACTCTCTGAGAGGGGCAGAGGAATTCTAACCCGGGTCGCCCTGGTCGGCCGCGTGCAAGGCAAATGCCCTACCCACTTTGCTATCGCTCCAGGTTAAAATTTACTGAAGATTTATTTGAGCCAGGAGTTTTCCAAAGCTCCTTAAGAATATTAGGTTATTTAGTTCTTGTTAGAATAACTAATTCTGTGAGTCATAATTTATTATCTCCATATAATAGATGTAGAAATCTAGGTACGTAGTGTTTATGTAATCCTCCAGTAGTTCTGAATTACTATGCCAAATTATCTTAACATTTCGATCTAAAGTTACTGTTGATAAAAGGGAAGGCCACATGAAAGGATTCTGCTTAGCAGTTGTTTCTTTTCTGCTCTTGGTGTTCTTCTCCCAAGCAGTTCTCAGGGATCCTGTATCCACTTCTGCTGCTATTTTGACCAAGTGGCAGGAAGTTCCATGGTAGGACACAGTACTGTGGTGCCCTTGGTGCCCAGCGGTGGCTGGGGCTGGGGACAGCAGCAGAGTCTTAAAGATGCTCAGGGTCACTCAGTGCTATATCCTTGGTTCCATTTGTATAGAACTAAAAATATTTTATAGTACTCTCTATTTGCCAAATTTGTTGGAAACACTCTATACCGATATTAATTCATTTAATTCTCACTCCCATCCTTTATTTTTCCTATCCTATGGGAAAGGAAATTGAGACACAAGGAGGTTAAGTAACCTGCCTATAACACCCATTTAATTCATGACAGAAATTCAGGATCAGGTCAATGAATATGCCAACTATTGCAATTTATTTCAATATTCTAGTCCTGCCACTATTTGCTTAACTTTGAACAAATAAGTCAACCTAATTCTCAGAAACCTTTTCTACCAATAAAGAGAGTTGGTGGAGTACAAGATTCCTTCAAATAGTCCTAGACATTTGGCACAAGAACCTCTGCAACATCACAAGAAAAGTCTTTTTAATGTCAGTGTAAAGACTGAGATAAAGGCACCAACTTTCAACTAACTACCCTTTCTAGTAGTACTTATCTCTAAGGATGGCGTCTAGAATCGGATCTAGCAGAAAGTTAAGGTGAAAAATAATTTTAGTCTCCAGAAATGGCCATTTCAGTGCTGTATCTGCCAGTTAATCTAGGGAATCTCCTCCCCAACCCACACTCCAGCCCTCGCCTAAAAATAATCTTGGCTCCATCAAAGACCAAATATGTCGCCCTGAGCAAGAGATCTATTGTTCTGATCTTAGTGTCTTTGTCTATAAAAAGGGAAATAACAATCCTACTCAGCAAAGTTATGAGGAGTAATTGAGATGATAAACAAGTGTAAAGTATGTAGAACAGGACTTGGCCCATAATAAATAGGTAAAATTTTAGCTCATTATTGCAGACTGCCTCTGCTCCTTTAAAGAAAAGATTGTGAATTACTCAAATCATCATTGCGGAGGATTCCAACCATCTGATGAAAACCCAGTTCTTCCCAAGAGTTGGGAAACTGAACTCTTCTTTACCTTCAAGGGGAAAAAAAAATCCAGCTAAATTGCACAATAATTAAGATAAATATTATTTGATATTGAGCTAAACTAGTTCACTTAAGTTACTTAACTTTAGAAGACCTGTGTACTAGATCAATATGAACTTCAAGTACTTATTTAATCTAATTACTACAGCTAGATAATAATTGTTAAATAGTGTTCATTGGTTAGAATTCAAACTTTTTTGTTTGTTTTGTTGTTGTTGCTTCAGGCCATATCCACAAGTGCACAGAAATCATTCCTGGCAGGGCCTGAGAAACCATTCGGGGTGTCAGGGATCAAAACACTGAGTCTGGTGCTTGCTTTGTGGGACTGTATCTGAGGCCCCAACTTCGAACATTTTGAAATTTTTAATGGATAAATATCATCCTACTCGTCCCATTTTAGTTTAACTGATAGATGCTTTACTAGTTGATAAATGTCTTATAGTGCATATTTTGAGGAATAGAAATGACATTTTAAGAGTAGGAGAATCTGATTTTCCTTTCAAACAGCACATCAAACTCTAGGATATAAACTATTCATTATAAAATTCATGGAGAAAAAACTAGAGAGAAAAATAATTTTGTTGGAGGTATTACAAAACAACTGGGACTGTTAAAATTTAACACCAACCAGAGGTTACATTTCTCACTTCCGAGTAAAACTCAGAAGAGCCAAATAAATTAATCCATAGCTATGAGTTCCTGGTTTAATGTGGATCTAATCTGGGAATATTTTAGGTCCTTTAAAAATTGATTACAGAACGTTAGACTAAATGGTAGTTTACTAAGATATATTCAATTTGCTAAATTGAGTACAGTGATGTGATATGATTATATCCAGGAAAAAACAAATACCCTGTATTTAAGTAAAGTTTTCAGAGCTGAAACCAATCATAGAGATTTTTATCATCCCCCAGAGGCCAAGAGGGATTACTGATTTGCCAAAAATTGTGCAGATAGTAAATATCTAGATTTTAGTTCAGGTTTTCTAGATCTCAAATTAGAAAAGGTCCATTATTTTCTGGCATACATTTGGACACTATATTCTAGTGATATAATAATCCCAATAATACCGTGTATTGAGTACATTCTCTGCACTGATGCTGCTCAGCTACACACCTAAAAAATCTCTTACCTACCCCCTTCATAGCTCTAAGATATGTTTAGTTATTTGCATATTACTGCATATTACAGATCAGATGACCAGCCCACAGACATTTGGCATTTGACCAAATCTTTTCAAGGAGCAAATGCAGAAAGCTGGGGCCCAGTCTCACTGTTGAGACTGCACTTTCCCTGTTTCACCCTGGGGTATCAATGTGACCACATCTTTCCCAGGATTGCCCTTGAAAGAAGTATTTTCATCTACTGCAACAGTATCCTTAGCTGACTGAGAATACAGGATTCAGAGCAAAATGGTGGTAAGAAATACCACCCTCAGGTCCTCAGTGCCCAGGAAGAGCAAGAGGCCTCAGGATGGTTTACTGTTACTGATCGTTGTCTGTTTTTTAAAAGTCAATATCTACTAAAGTATTAAAACATCACCTTTTACACTAGTAGGCCATGATTCAACAGCAGACACTTAAAAACCAAATAGTCAAAATGAAGTGAATGAAAATTCTTCAGTAAATGAATACTTTTAGGTAACAGGAAGTGTTACAGAAACTTTTTTTTTTAACAGTTTCATTCAAGTTGAAAGAGAAACTCCCAAATGTTCAATTGTACCTTATGTACTGAAAAGAAAATAATATTTCCTGGCTATTGTTCAAGTAGTGATAGCACTTAGCACTTTGGGAGAAGATAACCACAATCATAGTAGTAGTGTCCTACCTAGCAAATAATTTCAATTTACCAGCTGAACTGTTCAATGTTTAATGTATGTTAGAAGCATTAGTTCCAAGGCAAAATGAGGCAATATTATGTTTAACTGGAAACTTGTTTTATTAAAAAATATTTTTAATATTAATGCTATTTCAATACAGGTATGATAGATAATACTCAATAAAGTATCATGTACTGGATATAGTGAATTTAGGAAGTAACAGTCCTTCTAGATGCTGGCCCCTCAGGTCTCCATTAGATACCCCAGTAGCAAAGTGTAAACACCCTTTTAAAAAATAAAAGAGGCCTTAGGGCAGTTGGATTAAAGAGTGGGGTGGAGCAAGGAAAGTGCTCTTTCATGACACACTCATGCTTTTGGCTTTGACATCATTTAGTAAAAACAGTTCAGGGAGAACTGAGACAAACCCTTTTATGCTCTGCCAAAGCATAGAAGGAAAAAAAAAAACAAAAGCTTGTCACTCAGGAGCAGCTACGGATAAAACTGGCAGAGTTGAGGGAGTTAGGGACTTTCCGGATGTAAAACAAACAAACAAACAAAAAACAAAGGAGTAAAGTGCACAGTTACTGTCAAAAATATATTATTTTGATCCTAAGAAAATTAATTATTTTATCTAATGAACTAGATTGCTGACCCGTTAATACATTTGGTTTTCATGGAACATACAATCACCATCGGACATAAAATACTAGATTGCTTTAAAAAAAATTGCTTGGAGTTATCTACAGGAGTCTTGAGAAAGCAATTCAAGAATAACATTCTGCAGCTCTTTGGGTATTGGGCGATCTCCTTACACAAGTTCACAAAGCAGAGAGGGAACAGTTCGGATCACTGATTCCAGGGGGTCTTGCTCCTGCTCTCGCACCCCTGCCCCTGCTCCCTCCTCTTGCCCTATAAGCCAGTGCTCTCCAGCTCCTGGTCTTCCCCCGCAGCAGCCGGAGACCGGGAAATCATCAAGAGTTTCTCTTTGTTTGTAAACTGCTTCTGGGCGGACTGGGGGGACTCGGCCGGGGCCGGGGGCGGCTCGGGGCGAGGCTCGTCCCGCGGGTCCTGCTCCGCGCCCGGGGCGGCGGGGGCTGCGCAGTCTGGACTTTCCCGGGCCGCCGCCTCCCCCACCGACTCCTGGGAGGTGCCAGCCTCCCGCAGGGGTGCGTAGCCCTTATTGCTGCAGGGTGGGTCGTCGGACCGGGAGCTGGGCGAGTCACACCTGGCGGGCGGCGAGTGCTCCCGCGGCGAGGCGGGCTCCGGGGAGGCGGCGCCGGCCAGGAGGGCGACGCCCAGGTCGGCGCTGCCCGGGGAGGGCGCGGCGCGGGGGTCCGGGAGGCCGCTGGTGCTGCTGCGCCGCCAGGCCGCGGACCTGCCGGTCCTGGGCAGGCGGCCGCCCTGCCCCCTGGCGGCGCGCGCCGCCGGCTCGCCGGGTTCCCAGCCGGGGAGGTCGGTCAGACTCAGGTCGAGCTTGCCCCGCGGGATCTCCCGGGCGCCGCGCTCCCCCGGGGGCCGCTGCCAGCTGCAACTCGCGCCCTCGGCGGCGTTCCCGGCCCCGTCGCGCTCCCCGTGCAGGGGCAGCAGCGCGAAGGCGCTCAGCGAGGAGCCCACGAGGGAGCTGGCGGTGCTCTGGCGCCCCCAGCTCGCCGCCGGGCTGCAGGGCGCCGGGCTGCTGCTGCTGCTGGCCGCCGCCGCCACGTCGGAGCGCTGGCGGCAGATGCTGTACACGGCCTCCTCCAGGCTCGGGGGCTCCCGCGGGCGGCGCGGGGACGAGGACAGGTCCGGGGGCGACGCGGCGTCCCGGGCTGGCCAGGCGCCCTTGGCCAGCAGCGCCGCCGCCGCGCCGCAGCTCCCGGGCTCCAGGTCCAAGCCCCGCGCCTGCACGTAGCCCAGGAAGCCGTTGAGCGGGGCCCCCGCGGGCGCCGGGGCGGGGGCCGAGGACGAGGACGCGGCCGCGGCGGCCGCCGCCGCTGCAGCCGCCGCCAGGTCTTTGGCGCGGAGGCTGTGCACGTCGATGACGGTGGAGTAGAGGTCCCGCAGGTTGATGATCTTGGTCTTCTTGTCCCGGTTCTCGTGGAGCACGGCGTTGGCGCAGATAAAGAGGAAGATGCCGATGCCCATGATCAGGGGCCCGAAAACCTTGAGCTTGTCCGAGTGCAGGTAACCCGAGAAGACGCGGAAGAAGAAGCCCACCGACGTGGAGGAGGTCGGAGACGGGGCCGAGGACTTCGCGGGGGGCGCGCCTCGGGGAGTGCCCGCCGCAGTGGAGTTGGCGCCGTCTGGGGTCTCCGGAGGGCTCCGGGTTCGGTTCCTGCTGCTGACCGCGCTGCTGCCGCTGGCCGTGGTCGGGTCCCGGGGGCCGCTGCCCGCGGACGGCAGCTGCTTGCCCGCGTCCCGATGGGTGGCCCCGTTGGGTTTGGGCCAGTAGCCCACCACCGCCATGGCGATGCCCACCAGCAGCACCAGGATCCCGCAGAGGGCGATGAGCCCGGAGATGGAGCACAGCTTGAGCTTGCCTTTCACCACCACCACGTCGTTCTTGCGCCTCTTCTTGGCCTTCCGCTTGCGCTTGGGGACCTGGCTCGGGGGGCGGAGGGGATCCTGCTTCCGGGCGGAAATCCTCAGCAGGCCGCCGGTGGCGATCATGGCGAGCCCAGGCGCGGGGCGAGCCCCTGGGCGCAGGCTCCTGCAGGGGGGCGCCGCCGCCCTCTAGCTACTCCGCCACCTCCTCCGGCTGCAAAGCAGAGCGACACCGTCAGAGGCACTGGCGCGGCTGCAGCAGCTGTCCCGCGCCCAGGTCCCACCGTGTGGGTGGCCTCGGTCCATCTCAGGGCCTTTGACCCACAAATCCGAGTGCCCTGGCGGGGGGTGGGATCGGGTGGTGCCAGGGGGGTAAGTGTATCAGGCAAGGGTGATGCTGTGATAACTGAGGGGCCCTCCCCCCTCCTCAGACACTCTAGATAATAATATTCCAGCACTGCCCATGGCGAGCCCTTCTGGCGGACAGCCAAAGGAGTCCCGGCCATTAATGCCAATTTTTAAAAAAATCATAATAAATGTGGGGACTCAGAAGAATGGTTGAGGACTTTACTAAAGTCTTCCCCCTATGTCCCCTCCGGAAACAGATCAGGAGGCAGTCTTTCAACTCTGAGAGGCAAGTGCCACGGTGGGACCCAAAGTCACTGAAACTGTCCCCCAAAGTTACTATGTTATAAAAGTATGGGGGGAGTGATGCATTTTCCTGAATGAGAAGCAAAAGTCACATGCAGGCAGGAAGACAGTGTATTTACCTCATGAAATTTAGTAGAGCGTTTGCTGCTGGGAGAACACAGAAAGGGGGCAGGGAGGATACTTGGGCAATAAATCCCTTCACAAAGTTGTGTCCACCAATTACTGCTCCTAGCGCTAAAAGCAAGCAGATCGCTCTCCCAGCCCTTTGCTCCCCTCTTTTCTGCAACATCTGGACAGCTTCTTGGGATGGAATATTTAGTTTGAGGTAACTGGTTATGTAACTGAGCCCTTCCCCTGGCCGCCTCTCTTCCCGCAAAGGATCTCCCGGAAAGGTAGCCTGTGCTCCATCTATCAGGGAATTGTGAGAAGGCTCCTAAAATCTCCCAGAGAAAGATCATCTTCCTCATGGGGGGAAATTACAATCTTAAAACTACTCTGCCATAATAGCTTTCTGACCCCTTATTATTGTGCCAGCAGCACTCTTCAGAATCCTGATATTCAAATGAGTAGGCAATTAAGTAGGTGCAGCAGACTACATAATAATAATGGTTTGTAGGATGACATTTCCCGGAGTGAGAGATGTTTTCATCTTATTCTCATGAGGTCATTTTTTAGGTGAGGAGGGAGGGTGGCAGCTGACTATCCTATAGGAACTTTTCTTGTTTGTAATAAAGCCAGGATAGGTCACACTGCACAGATGAGTATTTGTGGATATGTTAGCTTCCAAATTTTTCAATCTTGCTGGATCACCAGAGTAAACCCCTCTCTGCCCACTGGTTGTGTTCCCTCCCCTAATAGAGATGGCCACATTAAGGGCATTATAAGAACTTAAAAGGCTTGGGCATCACTCATAACCACTTGGCATTTTATTCTTTATTAAGTGATAAAATATTTTAGGATAATTAGAATAAACTGCCTTTTTAATTTGTGGGGTCACTCAGGTAGAATTTACTTTTAATTGGTCCTGGATAAAGAGCTTTGGCTCTGGATTCCTCTAGTATATTGGTCTAGGCAGGATCTGTTCTCCATCAGTGAAAAAACAAATGGAAATCAGCTCTTTATAATGTCAGCAATTCAATGTATCATTGAAACTTAGTTGGCTTGCAATAAGAAGAAACCACGTACATAAGGTTGAATAGGGTCAGTAAAGAGATTTGTAAACCGTTTAAATTTTGTTTTAAAGGCGCACCTGCACCAGTAAGTAGAGAATCTGTGATTTTTTTTAAAGGAGTAGCTTACACTTGACCCATTAACGCTGCCTCCCCCACCCCCCAGCACATTTACTGTGTAGTTCTATCCTAGAAACTGCTGTTGTAAGTAATCCCTGGACTCCAACATTTTCCCCGTGATAATCTGGAGATCTGTGATCTATTTGGGGGATTTAGGAGCTAGACATCTGAGAAGCAAACCCAGACTCAGCAGAGTAGCTTTCTCTGGGTGCTAATATGATGCACCGGGACACTGAAAAGCTGCACCCGCGGAGGAAGGAAGGGACCCCGTGACTTTCTCAGCGAGGCGAGGCAGCTCTGGCCCTGGGTAGAATGCCAAGAAGATCGGGGTGGGTTTCAACAATCGTTCGCGGGAGATCTATAAAATTAGTTCAACGGCTAGTCACCAACTCCCGGGTTCCTTACGCCTTCGGCGCTGCTGAAGGCTGAACTCCAGACTGGATCGCCACGGGACCAGAAATCCTGACAAAGGTCCGCGCCCAGACTGGGAAACTGCCCCTCACGGCCGGGGAAGGGAAACAAACTTAGCGATCGTCGCGGCCGGCCCTGGCCAGGGCGCTGCCGGGTGCGGGTCTGCCCGCGGCAGGGAATGGAGGATGGGGAGAGGGATGTCTAAAAATACAACTGCTTCTAAGAGAGACATTCAAGTTCTCCGAGGGGAATGCATGAAGCAGCGCTCGGGGGTCTGAGGCTCAGAGCGCCCCCGTCCCCGGAACCCCCCTCTTCGTACCCCGACCCTCCCGCTGGACCCCCCGGTGGACAGGGCAGCGTCGCCCCTTGCCCTTCTCTCCCGTCTGCTTCTATCCCGCAGGAGTCACGAGTGCAGCAGCTGGAAAGAGGCGGGCAGGGGCGCAGTGAGGGCAACCCCGAGCTCGCTGTTCTCCCGGGCAGCGTGTCCCCGCGCAGCCCGCCCAGGACTTAAAATTTAAAAAAAAAAAAAAGAATAATGGAGGGGACTCTAGGTGTGCTCCAGCCCGGGGCCGGGGACCGGCGGGCGGGCGGGCGGGCGGGACGGAGAGAGTCGCTCAAAATGGCAGCAAGAAGCCGCCGACGTCGCTCACTTACCCGGCGAGGCTGGCGCGGCGGGCGGCCGGCGACCGCGCGCCCCGGCGACACAAAGGCAGCATGGAGAAACTTTTCCGCCCGGGCCGCGGGCGGAGCGCGGGGCGCCGCGGCCCGAGCCATCCCCGAGACTTGCCGGGAAGTGTCAGGTCCGGAGCATCCCGCGCCCCGCGCCTCTTTGTGTGGCCGCGCCGGGCGGAGTTGGGGCGGCGGCGGCTCCGGGCGGCCCGACTCGCGGCCGTTGCTAAGAGACCGGAGCCATGACACAGGGAAATCGCTGCAGGATGGCAGTCGGTCCCCGTCGGGCTCGGGGGCTCCCCGCGCCCCACTCGGCCCCGCCCGCCTCCCCACGCTCCCCTCCCCACCGCTCCCCCTCCCGGCCGCCGTGCGTCCCCTCGAGGAAGCGCAGCGCCCCCCTGCACCCGGCCTCGGCCCGGCCCGCCGGGAGCTGCGTTCCTGCGCCAGCAACTACCTGTCTGAGCCGCGGGCCGGGAGCACCCGAGCCGGGCTGCCCCCCGCGAGCGTCGCCCCACCTGCACCCGAGAGCGCGGCGCCCGCTCCCGCCCGCCCGCGCGCCGCCCGCCCTCCCTTCCACTTCTCGCCCCTCTTTTGTTGCCGGCACTCCGAGACGCGACGCCGCCTCGGCTGCTCCCACCCTCCCACCCACCCCCAATCGCCCCGCGGCCCCCCTGCAGGGTGGGAGTTGCCGGCGGGGACGCACCGCTCGCACAGTAAGTTGTCCCCTAGCGAACTCGGGCGGCTGCGCGCACGCAGCGCGGGACTGTGGTCCCGCCGCCCGCGGTCCCCAGCGCCGCCGCGCACCCCGGCTGGGCAAAGACTCGCGTCTCCCCTGGACCCCGGGGGCTCGGGGCTCCGCGCAGGTTCCAGCGGGTGTCGGGGCTCAGCCTCCGGCCGCCCCACCCGCCCCTGGCCGGGGCCGCCGGCAGCAAGCTGGGAGGAGACGGATCCTCCAGGAATCAGGGTTAAAAATCCAAGGGGGCAGGGGTGCGGTGGGGCCTGGGGGTGGAGGTGGAGGATGTCCAAAGTCCCTACGTCATTTAAAAGATGTAGAGGGAGAGCTCCCTTTTCTTTTTCTTCGCTCATCCCTGGCCTCTCAACTGCAAAGTAAAAATGTCGGGGAACAGAGAATTTCAAAGTGGAATTTCCCCACGGAGTACTGAGAAAGTAAGAACATTTTTTAATTATCTATTGGAAGAAGGCGGCCGGGGTTCAGAATGAGCGCTACCGAGAGGGAGAGGAAACCGGTGCTCTCGGAACTTGGGGTCCAGACAGAAATGGTGGGGCTTGGGTATTTTGAGTTTGCTCGTGAAGGACCCACGAGCACCCACACAGGAGCGTTTGACCGCTCTTCCCTCCCCCAGTTCCTGTTCCAGATTGTTCGTAGCTGTGCACAACACCCACTTCTGGTTTAAAGCGAGGTCATCTGCTCTCCCCAAAGCCATAAAGACCAAATTACAGGTTTCGAGATATCAATATGAGGATGGAGATAGTGGGGAGAAGGTACTGGAAGGGGTGGATTTCCTTGAAATTCTGCTTTCGCCTGCTTCGAAAGTGGCCTCATCACACTTTCCAAGCAAATAATGAATCTGCAATAAGGATGTGCAGAGCTCACCCACCTTCTTCCGCCTGTCTCTCCTATTCAGACTCAGCACACTAGGAAACAAGAGAAAGTTTTAAATCCTCCATGGATCCTTTCCTTTTAAACAAATTAATGCAAAGGAGAGATAACTAGGTCTATTATGGTCTGTGTGTGGGGGGGGGGGGGAGGGTTAAGTTTGTCTTGTTTGGGTCGGAGCTTTGAGATTTTTTGAATCCAGCAGCAGTCCGGTATTTTGTACAAAGATTGGGTCTGCGATCCTATCTCATTACATTGCTGGCTGCCAGGGACCAAATAAATCAAGTCCCTGTGTGGACTTCCTGTGTGGACGTCTGTTGAGCTACGTAAATGGGAATAGAGCCACAGAACTTCATTAGGAGTTTGCATGGATTAAGCTGTTAATAGTTTCTAATGTCTGCATGAATTATAGCCATCCTTTGCACATTTAAAAGTCACTTGAGGGATCTGGATAAGAAAAAAAACAAAACACCCTTGCTTGGCAAACAGACCTTGTAACCTAACTAGCTTTATCTTATGTTGATGACTGCAATAAAATCTATGGTTTGTTATTCAAAGATTTCTTCCCAAACTCAGGTCTCTGAAACTTGGAACTATGCAATTTAACCTCAGTAGTTTCTTCTATTTTCAGTTTAGGGTATCAGAGGAAATCAGAGTTCACATCTGTTGCATTGGACTCCTTTATTCCTCCCTTTTAATAATAGTAACACTGTACATTTCCAAGTTATGAGTTATTTTTAAAGGAACATTGATGCTCTTGGCTCTTCTGTACTCACTGTCCTAATGTCACTATCTGTTTTAGTTTGGATGATTTCTGTGGTTATGGAGTACCCTTTCACCCTGAAGAGGACTGGAGCAAAGGGCCACCTAATCATAATAATTCACTGATGTCTCAGGAACTTGGAGCTCAGCACATCATTGGGTCATTGGGAACTTGTAGCAGTATTAAAGACTTTATCTGTGCGGTTGGGGGTTTTGGGGGTGAGGAGAATGGTCAGCCTTAATTCAGTTAGATTAAACTCTTACCTGAAACCTTAATTTGTTCTTTCTTTAAAATAACCTTCATGTGATATATTCAATAAGCACAACTTGTTCTCAATTCACTGACTTCCCCTGATCATTTAACCGATTGAGCTTGGCTTGGTTTACAATCAGCCCATATTCCCAGAACGGGGTTGGAAGTGCAGAAAGAAACAGTTTAAGTGGCTTACCCATCTAGGCCTTTCTTGGTCTTCAGGGGTGTGTCATAGGAAAGGCTTTTATTATGATTATTATTTACATATTTCTGAATATAACATTACAATAGTTTTAGGTGCATAGTGCAATGATTCCATATTTGTATATAATATAATGTGGTCACCAGGATAAGTCAAGTTCACATCCATCATCTCACAATAAAAATAACTTTTTTCTTGTGATAAAATCTTTGAAGGTCTACTCAGACATTTAAATATTCCTGCAGTATTATTGACTGTAGTCTCTGGATTTATTATGTCAAGAGCCCAACACTCTAACCTCTTCATAAATTTTATTCTCATAAATAGATCAAATGCTGGAAAACGGAGGGAGTTTTGTAGTATAAGTTCCGGAACTGGCTCATATCTTCCATTTACCACTTAATTTACTCAAATGACTTAATCTCACCTGCCTCAGTTTTCCCAGCTGATATCAACACTAATACCTAGCTCATATCCAACATTCATTGATGTGATTCTTAAGAAGTTTATGTAAATGAATGCTTTTCACCAGGTAAGCACTCCTGATGGGTAAGCTCCCATTCTTGTTAATTCTGACATTTTGACATCTTCCCCCAGCCCCAACTCTGTACCATCACTCTCCCATTCTATTCATGTTTACTAGGCTCTACGTGGGACTGCATCTGCTCTTAACTCTCTAGAACAGGATCAGTTATTGTGACTGAACTACTACCTATTAACTGCCATAAGCCTGGTGCCATGTAAGAAAAGACTGTTTTCCAGGAGAGAGAAAATAAGTTTTTCTTTTCTACTTTGCTCACTTTATAGGGCCCTTTTGTGTCAGTTGATTTATAAAAAGCCCCATTTGAAGTCTGTGTCTCTTTACAGACAAATTAACAGTTTACAAAATATAAGAAAGCACAGAGCGTTCAGACTGGAAGCTTGAGAGCACCCCCACACTAGACGCCAAGGTGGAATCTAGGAAGCACTGCATCTTGCTCTTTTCTTCTTGCTCCTGCTTCACCTCTTTATAAACCAGTCATTTGAAGCAACACAAAAATACGGAAGTGTGACACAGGTAATGAAGAATTGAGTACTAGACTTAGCAAATAAAAGTAATTTATGTAACATATACTAAAAATGGATTATTTGAAATTAAGATTTAACTAGGCAACTTCTCTTTCATCTGCAATTTCCCAACAACATACCCTGATAGTCTCACAATTTTTTGTGGCCCATATAAAGAATGAAAGAGCCCAAGAAAACAAAAGTATTAAAAGTATTTGATTTATTTTGGTGCATAGAAGGGGGAGGGGAAACACTAGAAAGAGAATCTAGATGGAACAACAGAACTTAGTAGCTCTAGAAGAGGTGTCTACTAGTTGAGATGCACTTGGCCTTGGGATTTTCTTACAATCATGAGATTACGTGGTTTGTGCTTCTAGCTCTTCCCCACGGACTCTGCATGCCAGAGGGACAGTTCTTGCCTCTTTCTCTGCTCTCTAGAGCCCCACAAATGAGCTTCTGGGAGAGGGAACTCAGCATCACTTTCAAGAACTTACGTTTGCAAACTCATGTAAACTCATTCTAGTATCAAGTTCATGATCAAGACCATTTCTTATATTTTGAAAGGTATTAAAGAGTTTCGACCGAAAAACTTCCGTCATAGAGGAAAAGAAATGAAATATGTGAAGAGGCCCCCTTCTTCAAGTGGGGGATAAATGGAACGCACCATTTACTTATTTAGTACTTCCTATTGTACTTTCTATGAGTACTTTATACTTCCTATGTTTTTTAGATAACTGAGGATAGAATGGCAAACAGTACAATGAATACCTCTCGGGGGAAGGGAGCAAATAAACAAGTTACTAGGTAAGATAATTTCAAAACTTGCTAAATCTTATGAAGAAATTGAAAAATGATACTGTGATTGTTCAGAGGGGCAGCAAACAAGAACAGCTGAGTCTGAGGGTTCTGGGAAGGGCTCTGAAACAAGTGACATTTGTACTGAGGAGTGATGTCTTGAAAGAAGCTGTTTGGAAGTATTCTTGTGGAAAGGGAAGAATTGGAATGCATGGCCTAATTCATGTATAAGGTACATTTATCAAAAAAGCAATTAGGATCAATGTAAGGAAAGAGGACTTTAAAAGAAAGTGATCCCTGAGGAGAAAAGGTTAGTTGTTTCCTCTCTTGACCAACACCAATTCAGAGTTGGACTGGCGAATTGAAGGCACAGAACAGGGTATGTGAGAGGTTATGCTGACATAACTTCTCTGGTAGAGTAAAGGACAGCTGGGAAGATGCTATGGT